CTTGTGCCCCCTCCAGAGCTGCACGCCCCGCCAGACCCAGAGCCCCCTCTGGAGCCCCCTCCAGAATAGGAGCCTCCTCCTGAGCCTCCTCTGGAGCCCCCTCCAGAACAGGAACCGCCTCCAGAATAGGAGCCCCCTCCAGAGCCTCCTCTGGAGCCCCCTCCAGAATAAGAGCCTCCTCCAGAATAGGAACCCCCACCAGAATAGGAGCCCCCTCCAGAGCCAGAGCCTCCTCTGGAGCTACCGCCAGAGCCATAGCCTCCTCCACTGCCTCCTCTGGAGCCGGACCCTCTGCCTCCAGAGCTTCCGGAGCTGAATCCTCCTCCTCCAGAGCCGGGCCCTCTGCCTCCAGAGCCATGGCTTCCCAAACCGGCCCTGGATGCCACGTTCGACGAAATGGTGCTGCTCGTCACCGCTGCAAGGAGAGATGGTGTTACAGGGCCCTAGTGGCCTCAGCCTGCCGCCACCCCGCACACCACGCAGACAGGACGCATCCAGCACTTACACACGGTCACGTTGTTGCTGAGGTCTCCAGACATCCTGCGGAGAGAGGAGACAACCTGAGGCAGCGCGCTCGGGACCCGGCGCCCCTTGCAGGGCAGCCCCGGGGCGGCGGGCCCCCGCGACCCGGGCCAGCGCCCCCCGCTTCCTGCTCAGCGTCTTCCTTTGGCTTTTGGGGAAGCAGCGCGGAGGACGGGGGCTGGCGCTCAGAAAGCGGGGCGCTGCAGCCGCAGCAGGCCTGGGCCGCGGGCTGGGAAGCCTCTTAGGCCTTCAGCGCAGCCGCTTGGTCGACTGTCCACTCGCCACCCGTGACCTCTAAGTCACTTGTGCGCCGGAGGGGCCGCGGCTTGGGGAGGCGAGTTTGCGGGTTTTCTCGGCCGCCAACCCGCGCGCCCGCCCGCCCTTCGGAGGACCCCGCCGCCGGCCCAGGCCTCGGGTCAGACAGAGGCAGGCAGAGGGCCCGGCCGGCCACCAGGGCAGGGGCAAGGGGTGGAGGGCTTTGTTCCAGCCCAGAGCCTGCGGGACCGAGGGGGAGGGGAGGACGCCCTCCCCGCCGTACCGCTCCCGCCACCCCACCTCTGGGCCATGCCAGCTGCCACCTGCTGGGGCGGCTCCAGTTACCGCAGAGGGAGAGGTGAGAGGCTAGTGCCGGCCCTGAGGGGCCAGCAGGGTGCGGGACTCTTCCGGCTGCGAGGAGGCTGCCGTGAGGAACTGCCGCGGTCTGCCGGCGGCGCCGGCCACACCAGCCTTGCGCGCTTTCTCCCATCTCATGCTGGGTCAGGGTGGGCTTGGGTGCGATTTCCTGGGCGAGAGCTGCCAACGGGAGGTCGGGGGTGGGGGATGAGTTGGGGTGAGCTGGGGTGAGGGTGCAGACGGCTGGCCCAGCTGCAGCTGCTCAGCAGAGCTGGATGAGCCTGCACCCTGGAGCTCTGGCCCCCAGAGAGGGAGGGCGGGGTGTGCCCTGGGGAGGGAAGGTGAGCGCGGCAGGTGTTTGTGCCGGGGAGGCCAGGCCAGGCTGCGCGGCTGCCCCTCTGTCTCTTCCCTTTGTCTCTGCTCGGTGCTTCACTCTGGCCCCCTTGGGCGATTGCCCTGAGTCCACCTCTTGTTGACCCAGCTGGATTTCAGGTGCCCGGAGTTTCGTGGCCCCTAACTCGTGCCTCCTCCTGCCCAGCTGCTTCCTGACCAACCGGTCCTCATTTGTCCTGGCTTCTGGCTCTCACACTCAGCATCACCCTGTGATGTCCGGCTCAGTCTCCCCCGTTGGTTCGAGCGGCGGTTGTAAGGCTTCACAGAAGGCCATTGATGAGGAAGGGACTAGAATGTTCTTAGGTCTTGGCTTAAGTCAGTGCTCCTTTGTGCACATGGCTTTTCAGGTCTCAGCGGCCCACAGGCTCTGTGCAGAGTGAGTGGAGCGCACCCTGCCACGGACGAGCCCTCAAGCCCGGCGCGCCGTGTCCTCTCCCCTCAGTGGTCGTATTGATGAGGCGAGCGACGCCGCGCCCAGCTCGGGAGGCGCAGGCGTGGTGTCCCCAGACCTCCTCTGACCTGCCCTGTGGCCGGCACCGGTCCCTGTTCCCAGAAGCCTCTCCCTCTCCTTTCCCTGGGTCTTGACGTCTCCCCTGCTGCGCGCCACCCTCCCTGCGGTCTTAGGGTTCGCACCGCGCCCTGCGGCAGGGCTGGCCGGGGGTGGGGGCGCACCGCGGCTCAGGCCGCTGGCCTGTGAGGGGCCAGGCCAGGGCGCCTGCGGCTGGACCTCTCAGTTTCCTCTCTCCTGTTTCATCAGGTCCGGGACCTGCTGCCATGGGGGACATGAAGACCCCTGATTTTGATGACCTCCTTGCGGCCTTTGACATCCCTGACATTGACGCGAACGAAGCCATCCACTCTGGGCCAGAAGAAAACGAGGGGCCCGGAGGCTCGGGGAAGTCAGAATCCAGCGTAGGGGGTGAAGCTGGAGAAGCTGCAGCTGCTGGGGGGGGGCCGGGGGGCCCGGCCCAGGCCCCCGACCACGGCCTGCCAACCTCGGACATTTCGGCGGTCAGCGTCATCGTCAAGAACACTGTGTGTCCGGAGCAGTCGGAGCCCCTGGCCGGGAACTCGGGAGGGGACGCGCCCCGGACTGGGGGGCTCGGCAAGGACGGACCTGTGGGGCCTCGTCTGATGCAGAATGGTTTTGGGGGCCCTGAGCCATCCCTTCCAGGAACTCCCCACTCTCCAGCTCCTCCCAGTGGGGGCACCTGGAGGGAAAAAGCCGCGGAAGGCAAAGCCCCCTTGGATCTCTTTGCTCATCTTGGGCCTGAGCCCGGAGAACACCCCGACCCCCTGCCTCCCTCCGCGCCCTCACCGCCTCGGGAGGGTGCCCTGACCCCACCCCCTTTCCCCACTCCCTTTGAGCCAGCCCAGGAGAGTGGCCCGGCCCTGCTGCCCCCGGGGGCCTTGAAGCAGGAAAGCTGCAGCCCACGTCCCGCCCGGGGCTGCAGCCCCGACGCCGCGGGCAGCCCTGCCAGCGCCTCGCCTTCCGGGGTCGCTGGGGCGCCCTTCGTCAAGCAGTCTCCAGGGCACCAGAGCCCTCCTGCCTCTCCCAAAGTGCCCGGCGATCGGCCCCTCAAGGAGGAAGATGACGACGAGGGGCCAGCGGACAGGTCCCCCCCAGGAAGCCCCCGGAGCCCCTCCAGCGGAGCCGAGGCCGCGGACGAGGACAGCAACGACTCCCCGGCCTGCGCCTCTCGGCCGCTCAAGGTGCGGATCAAGACTGTGAAGACGTCCTGCGGGGGCATCACGAGGACCGTAACCCGGGTCCCCTCAGACCCGGACCCCTCCGCCCCTGCGGCCGAGGGGGCCGTGGTGGCCGAGGCTAGCTTCCTGAAGCTCTCCCCGGCGAACCCAGCGCCCGAGGGCCCAAAGGTGGTGAGTGTCCAGCTGGGTGACGGCACACGGCTGAAGGGCACTGTGCTGCCCGTGGCCACCATCCAGAATGCGAGCACGGCCATGCTGATGGCTGCCAGCGTGGCCCGCAAAGCCGTGGTGCTGCCCGGGGCGGCTACCACCAGCCCCAAGACGATGGCCAAGAACGTGCTGGGTCTCGTGCCCCAAGCGCTGCCCAAGGCTGAGGGCCGCGCGGGGCTGGGGCCCGGGGGGCAGAAGGTCAACGGTGCCTCCGTGGTGATGGTGCAGCCTTCGAAGCCGGCCGGGGGCCCGGGCGCCACGGGGGGCACCGTGATCTCGCGGACGCAGTCCAGCCTGGTGGAGGCCTTCAACAAGATCCTCAACACCAAGAACCTGCTGCCCGCCTACAGGCCCAACCTGAGTCCGCCGGCCGAGGCCGGCCTGGCCCTGCCCCCCACCGGCTACCGCTGCCTCGAGTGCGGGGACGCCTTCTCGCTGGAGAAGAGCCTGGCGCGGCACTACGACCGCCGCAGCATGCGCATCGAGGTCACCTGCAACCACTGCGCGCGCCGCCTGGTCTTCTTCAACAAGTGCAGCCTGCTGCTGCACGCCCGCGAGCACAAGGACAAGGGGCTGGTCATGCAGTGCTCGCACCTCGTCATGAGGCCCGTGGCCCTGGACCAGATGGTGGGGCAGCCGGACATCACGCCCCTGCTGGCCGTCCCGCAGGCCCTGGGCCCGCCGGCCCTGCCGGCCCT